CATGGTGTTTGTCTTCCCCAACTCATGAGCTCTGTAACCTCAGGCAAGTGATTTATTTAGTAGCAATAAGGGAGAGAATGCAGCTTAACTCATAGCTGGGTTTGAACAAGATGGCTTCACCTACATAAGTAAATCTCAGAATGTAAAAACCCAGGGAGAGCTGGGGCTACATATCACCTAAGCCTGCCCTACAAACACCCAAATCAACTGTCTCCGCAGATACCTAGGGAAGAAACCCCACAAATGTGTTGTGTTTAAGGGACAAATAGATGTCCTCCCCTTTTAGGATTCACGAGCCTCTCTCTGATCTAATTATAGACCTCCGTTAACAGAAAGTATATAGTCAATGACCTGCCTGCGACTTCAAACCTGAGACTTAAACCCATACAGAAAGAGGTGGGGTATAGTCAGTCACAGGCTGGTAGGATGCCCTGTGGGCAGTAGCAGGGCAGACTGTGCTCCCGGAGCCAGGTGAGGGCAGGGTGGTAGAGGGCACAGACCGGGAGTTAGGAGAAAGCAAAAGTGGGTGCTGAGACCAGCCTATTGCACCAACAACCCTCCTCCAAGTGGGCATAAAGCATCCCCTATGTCCACCCTACCCCCCCCAAACTAACCCCCCACTCTTTCTCTCAGGCCTTTCAGCACCAGCTCCCTGGTTTTAAAAAAGGTCTAATGGGAGGCAAAGACTGAGGAATGCTATACCTTCTCTCAGACAGTCACCCAAGTGGCAGAAAAAAACTTTGAAAGAAGAGTTCTCCAGATTCCGTATTAGACAACTAATATTGTTCTTCCAACAAATGCATTAATTCATTCCATTTGTCTCCTGGTGTTATACATTACCTTGTGTCAGATTTTAAATGAGCTCTACTGAGCTGCAATTATTACTTAGTGTTCTAGCTGTGTTGGTGCCCAAGCACAGCATGGGGACGGGTTCATCCTCTCATAAGGATCTAAAATCACACATGGCCTGAGACAGGCGAACAGACATGGTGCGGGGAGGTACTTGGGTTTATTGGCTCAACGGGGAGGTGCGTGAGGACAAAGATCTCTAGGTGGTCTGTCTGCGGCTTCTGACACCCTGTAGCTCTGCTGTCCGGCATGCAAACTCAGCTTCTTTGCTCTGGCAATAAATACTCCAAGGTCCTGGCACAGAAAGGTTTTTCCCTCAGATTTCATCGAACTAAAAATTGCTGTAGCCAGCAATGAGTCAGATTTCCTTTCCTTCACTAAGACTATAGGGTTATTGCTGAGTTCATCACTCAGCCTGTCTCTTGCCAACTCTCAGTTATCCATGCCACAGATTTCCTGGGACACTTCCCACTGAGGCGCCTGCCCCTCCCCCATTCTCTGTGGCTGGGAAGATGTCAAGGCTTCCTTGGCTGGGCAGAATGTAGGTTACTGTGGGAAGCTGCTGGAGAAATATCTCAGAAAGAATAAGACATTTCAAGTGAAAACAGAAAGGCTCCACCCTATTTTACAGAGTATAAAGTAGCAAGAGTTTGTGATTCATGGTAAAATGGATGAATGGAACCCAAATATTTTTCATGTTTTGTGTTGTCAAATTCAGTGCAGATTAGCATTTAAGGACATGCTGGTCAGCGAGGAAGCTGCTCCCAGTCCTGGCTGCTTCTGCTGGTCATCCAGACTGGCTCTTGCCCCAAGGAGCTCAGAGGTGCTGGTTAGGGGTGAGGACAGGACTATCTTAGACTCACATCTAGCCCCCTTAAGAATATCAAATTATTTCCTTTCCATCCCTTCAATGTTCAATGAAGATTTACCAAGCCTGGGCTAGGCCTTGACATCGCTAGGGACACAAAGGTAAAAAGATATGATGCCTGTCTGGACTGCCTTCAGAGGTAAATGAAATGGCAGGTTCGTGACTGATGTGGCTGGTCCTTCTGCTTACTGGCCAGTGGAGAAGTCCCCTTACAGAGTCATGTGGATCTGCCTCTAATTCACCCACTTAGTCTCCCAGTTAAAAAAGGAAACAAATCTGTGCCTGTCAGGTGGATGGAAGAGAGGCTGAGCGAACAGAGAGAGGGAGTGCCCTCTGGGTGTGTGGCCTTTTGCTGAAAGCAGAGCAGAGGCCCTCAGTTAGTCTTTTCAGGCAGTCAGACCCAGTCACTGGATCGTCAGCCTTGCCTTTTCCAAAGACCCCTCACATCCTGGATCAGTAGGCCTCCCGGGGACTTGCGGCACAACACCACCTCCTCACAAAAGCCAGGGAGGCTACCAACCTCCCAGAGGCGAGTCCTAGGAACATGGGGTGGCGCAGAGCAGAAACTCTGCACTAGATGGCACATCTGGGCTCTGGGGATGACACCGGCCCCTCTAAACTGCCAAACATTTCCTCAGTACCCCCACAGGCTGCCCTTCCCATGAGTAGGCTCCTTATCCCAGAGTACAACCGCAGTTCATCCATCAAGTGCTCCACACACACTACAGTAAGAGCCAGGATTTACACGGACCCCACACCCCGCCCAGCTCCTCTGGACCTGGGGCTCATGCTCAGTCACCCCTCTCCATTCTATCATCTTGTCCTACCTGTGCTTACAAAGCCAAGTGCTGGAGGAGGCCAGTGGCTCTGAGCATCCTCCTTCACCGTTGCCAAGCACACAAGATAATACCCACTTTCTCAGTTCCTGTCAGGACCCACTCATGGGAGACACTAACCCAAAGCATGTGATCATCAATAGTAAAGGTCTGGGTGTTTAGCTTTACTGTTCAAGTTTCCTAAGCCTTAAATGTCTTCTACTCATAGCAAATGGCAGCTACATGGATCCATTTCAAAATCACTGGGATGAACACGAGGGGCACAGAAGAAAGGGATCGGCCCTTATAGAACCCATTCCCCTCCCCACAGTACCCCAACACATGCGTCTTGTTTACCCCTCATAGACCACAGGGAATGGCATTTTTAAATATGAAGCAGTTACATTTCCCAGAATTTTCCTTGGGACCATACCCATACATAAGCTCTAGGTGGAGGGACACAGTGGTCTGAATATGTTTTGCGTTTGCCATATTCCATAGCTCAAGAGTTTCCAGGTGGCATTTGATGATCAATGCCTGTAAGCTTATTTCTCGGTTCTCCCTCTTCTACAGGACTTTCCTAGAACTCACGAAAATGTTCCATGTTTCCTGGGCTGGGATGAAAACAGAGAAAGGAAAAGGATAAACCAGAGGGAAAGAAAAATAGAACATCAAGGTCACCGGGAAATCTTGCAGTCCTGTCAGGTCGCTGGAGTCAGCTGTGACAAGGGTAGCTTGGTAACAGACAAAGAAAGAGAACACCCATGTACACACACACACACAGACATCCAAGAGCTTGTGAAACCTTCTGTTTCTTGAATGCTAATTACAGTGTCCAGACACTTGAAATTTTACAGATGTCAAAACAAACTTGAAAGGCCAAAGAACAAAGGAGCTTATATCTTGTTCCTCTTTAATGGGAAACATTTGCTCCTCTGGCTTCATGAGGATAAACAACATGTTTCCAATTTCAAATCATCATCCTCAGTATCAATAAACACAGTCTGGTGACCACTGGGGGCTGCTCTTCCAAGGTGCCACTACAGGGCCTCCTTGCCCAAGAAAGGACTTCTTAATGCAACAGAGTAAAGCCTGAAATCTCCAGAATCCCTGGGCTTCCAGGGTGGAGGAAGCAATTACTGATGAATGTTAATTAATTAATAGGTATTAATTAAGTAACTGTATCCCATAGGAAAGCAGGCCTACACCCAGCAGAGAGAAGGGATGCCAAAAGCCCCTCCTGCACAGAGGACATACTCTCTGACTGGCCACTACCCTTAACAGCCACAGGTTAGTCACAAAAACACACACCCTTGTGGCTAAAAGAGACAGTAACACACCATTTAATGGCTTCTTCCAGATAAATATTTCCAAAAGGTCCCTTCAAAATGCATATGTGAATACACTGACATCTGAAAGAGGATGATGCAGGGCAGAAACAGTTGACAGACTCATTTGTGAAGAGAAGGAAGTGGGAAAGCTTCGGAACAGTGTTGGGAAGCCCTACTGCCTCATCCTCGGCTTCTGTGAATCCCACCCTCTTCCCCCTCCCAGTGGACTGAAAAGCAGGAGTGGAATTAAAGTGTTAGAGAAGCGCAACTGTGGCCTAATGCTATCCTTTCTCGAGGCTCAGTAGCTGTGAGCACATGTGGCTCTTCTGTCATTGGCCAAATGAGGGCCTGCCTGTGTCCCCAATCGCCCTACAGGGTGAGCCTAGGCAAGCTCAGGGGTCTGGGGTTAGGGAGTCTCATTGTGGTTGGTCCAGATCTGCCATCACTAAACCGGCCATTTTGATCCGCATCTGTAGCCTGTCACTTATTTCTCACTTGGTTCCAAATTCGGAGGTGAAGAGGATTAAGACTTATGGGCTCTTCAATGCTAATGATGTGGCCCCTGTGGAGGCCACTGGGAGAGACCCAAGATCAGCTGAAAGGCAGTATGAAGATACTGAGTGTGAAGAATCAGCTTGAAGCCACCTTCGGGACCTCGGCCAGCTCTGGATATACACTTACAGTTTTGTCTTTCCCAGCTTCCAGCAGAGCATCCAGGTGGCTAGCCTGACTCAGAGCACGCTCAAAGGTCAGATTCTCAATCCAACTGATGGCCGCAGCTATGGATTGTTCCGTCACAGGAACAGCATTGTCCTGCCATTTCACAGGCTCTTGAGAAGCCCTGAAAAGAATCACATGGGCTGTCACCAGGCATTGGTCAACATAGCTGTCAGCCCTCAGTCTCACAGCTATAAGCAACAAGCCACTTAAGGTCACCAGCGCTAAGAGAAAGAAAAAGCAGCTTCCAGTCCTCTCTCTGAAAATTACCAACAAAACAGGCAGGCTGTTTGAGATGGGTTTCCAAAGCACCACTACCTTCTATCAGCTGTACTGACAACGGAAAAACAATGTTTGCGGGAAAATAATCTCAAACATTAATGAGTGCATTAAAATTATTGAGGGACATTACTATCATAAACAGGTAGGTTTATATGTAACTCTTCTATTACTAGTAAATTCAAAAGGCTTCACAGCATTGAGATTTGTAAATCAGCAATAATCTTATTACTCTAAAATTTTGTCTAATTCCTCTATTACATTGTTTTCATTGTTCTGAAAGATTCCCATCAGTTACATTTTAGGTCAAAAACAGTATTGTTCTGAGTTCAGCAGAGCATATGTTTTTAAATCCTGGAAAAGTTTGATTCATCATTTTGAGTTCAAGAACAGCTATTTGAATTTATCTCTGTTTATAACTGAACAATTATGAGTCACATATGAATTCGGGATTATAAGAATTATATGACTCATGGACTAAATGAATCATCCTGAGTTGTTCCTCATAGCCCACCTCCAAAGACAGAGGCTACCTCCACATGTCACCTCTAGATAGGGAATCTGGCCAAATGGCATATATGATATAGCATGGATTTCCAAGAAAGCTAAAGCATTGCAAACTTAAGCACTTAATTCCTTCAATAATATATTCATGACAAAAACAGAAACCTGAGATAGAACACAATTAGGCAGGGTCCCCAAAGATGAGATCTACTTAGCCGAAAATACTTTATTTAAAAAAAAAAAAAAGTCAGTCAGGTAGATAGCCCCCATCCAGATGTTTCCTGTCAGGGAGGTACAGCCACTGTTCCCCATAAGAAGTTGGCCTGGAGTCCAAATCCTCTCAAATCCAAGCATCCGTAAATGATTGATTGTAAAAACTCTGAAATATGGGAAATTCTATAAAGCCAGCCACCTGCTGTTCTGATTAAGGGGGTCAACTTGTGGAGAGGTCTACTTGAGTTGTAAGCTCAGTGTGAAAACCAGTGATATTTGTGACAAGTTTGAATTCATTATCCAAGCTACAATCTCGAATGAGTGAAGGGATTTTTATGGCCTTAATTATATATTCAATATAATTTATCTTTATATTTGACCTTACCATGAATTGAAAAAAGTATGTTTCTAAATATCTCCTCACTGGAAAACTAGGATGCCATGTGCAAAGCAGATAAAAGTTTTCTAAGATTTATTCATTGTGGGTTTCTGCTGGAGTCCTATATTCTGGGAAATTACAAGATAACACTGCCCCCACGTCCCACCATAGAGTTAACTATGTTAGTTATGCTACTTAATTCCAGTAAATGGAAGTTCCTTTGTAGTTTCACTAAAATAACTCCTTCCTATAGGAGCTCACCGTATGATATTGAACTTGGCTATGTGAGCCACCTGCTCCCGGAAAACCATTACTAGGGCGTCCTGGCACAGACGGAGCTCCTCCTCCTGCATGCCGCCCAAATCTAGCACTATGGTGATGTGCTGTTCCAAGATGACACCAAAAATCTGCCGGCTTTCGCTGGTGAGCCAGTCCATCCGCTGCTTATAGCTCTCCACAGCTTGTGTTAAATGTTCCACAAACTGATAGATCAGTTCTGATTTGGCTGTCAACTTAATGAAAATAAAAGTTAAATAAATAAATGAATAAATAAATAAATGCACACCAAAGTAAGTCACTTGGACCACAGTGCAGCCAGGAACAACAGGGCCCACTGAATCAAGGCCTCTACCATCAAGAACTGCAGGTTAATGGTAGTTTTGTAGATGATCCTCCAAACCCCACATAACCCAGCAGGAAGTGTCTCAGTCTTTAAACTGAAAACCCTTCGCTGATTCTCCACAAGAGAAAAGATGATTGTGTGTTCTATTAAAACACAGCACTCTTTAAAGAAGAAATGTGTTTCTTGATCATGTTCTATCTTTATTAGAAAATGTCCAGGGGAACTTTTAAGAAATTGGGGAGAAAAGAGAGATCAACAAAAGCTGATTGAAAAAAATAGTTCTCATTAAAGTTTTCCTAAGTACGACATGCCAAAAATATTCTGAAAATGCTTCTAAACATGCCAGCACATCTGCCTGGCTTCCTCTAAGAATGCCACCCAAGTGACTCAGCCTCCTGTTCATGACATTTGTCCTGTGTCCTCTGTCTCTCAGGCCAAGCTTCCCTGTACCTGGATCACTCAATCACCCACAGCTGCCACCGACACCAATAGGGGTGGTCCCTGAAAGGTGACAGAGACTTGGGGGTGATTTCTTGTATACACAAATAAACCATCACTCACAAATCAGACATAATTGTGCAAGG